CACACACACACACACACTTCACAGAAAAGCCAAAAGTCAAGAAGTTAAATGCTAAGCATTACAATGTACTGTCTCTGTATTTCTTGCTCATTGCCCTACACCTCATTCACTGCATTAGCATTTGTAAAACTGTTTGAACAACCTCTTGAGACAATAACTACTCTAGCTCTGGTATGAAATTCACAACTGAGCCATGATATACAAAGAACCTGGAGGATGCCAATGTGCTTGAAAGTCAAGTAATCAATCCGGAAAGCAATTCATTGTATCTATCTTGAATAACTCTTGCTATGCTTATTTAAGACTAGTGAAGACTGTATCGCATAGAAATGTTGATGTTTCTTTCCTAACATTAACAAACAAAAGAGGTAGAAGAGGGCAGGAGGAGCAAGCAGACATTAAGAAACATTTAAGGGCCAATACATTGTCTGAATTCTTGAAACCTACTCATTTTAGAGGAAAAAAATCTTCCATTTTGGCGGGTAACTTGAATTGGTAATATAGAATAAAAGTAAGGCATACATAGAAAAAGGCACTACTAAAAATCAACAATTAAATTGCCTTCTGTTACCATTTAATCTTAAACTTAAATATTTAAAGCAATCGCCAATCTTTAAGACAAAATATGGTCTTCAGAAAAACTGTCCTATTCTTAGCATAAATAACACTGTTCAGAGTTCAACTTCTACCAAATGTTTTTGAGTTTTTGCATAATTTAGACAGAAAAAAAATTCTTTAAATGATTGCTGGGGTGAATGGGGTAATATTATGGAATAAATGTTTGCTATCCCCAGGACTGTCTGAATAAAGGCTGTGTTTTGTAGTAACAGGGGGTCCTGAGAAAGAGGCTGTCTGACTCCAGAGGTTCCCCTAAATTTGGAGATAGTTTTACTATAATTCCTATTATTGACATTTTGCATTATAACAGCCAAAGATTTCTCAACTTGCTTTCCCCTTCATAAAAAAATCATAACATTAAAAAAAAATCATTGCTCAACTTTCAGGTTTAGGGTCTGCCATAAAGTAACTTCGCCTGTATTTCTCCTGGACTGTGACCTCCTCAAGGATGTTAACTTCATACTTGACAAAGTAGGCCACAAATAATGGAAAGCAAATGAAGACACCCTATTTTAAAGAAATGGAGGGGGAAAAAAAAAAAAAAAGAAATGTAGAGATGTGTAGACGTGATTGATAACAGGCGATTTTATATCAAGATACTGGTTCCTAGACCCCAAATTAAACTGATGGCACAGAAGTCTGCAGTTGACCAGGGACTCTCCATCTGGCTTAGTCATACTGCTAAATTACTCAGATTTCATTTTATTTTCTTTGTGATTGCACATCTTAAAAACCCTTACCTCAGAAATACTACAGATCCAACCTGACCTATGTGAGAGCCACAGGAGAAGAAAGCTATTCGAAAGAAATATTTTCATCCTTTTTATGTTGTTTCCATTGGCAACCAAGTAGACTTTCAAATGAAAGCAATTCAACTTATTCTAGAGTCAGGGTTTTCATTTGTGCCTCAATATTCAGTCTCTTTTACACATAAGGGTGACTGTACCTTGTAAAACTTTCTAAGGCAATAGCCCCAGTGTAGTTTTAAGTTAAAAAAAATGTTTTGTAAACAAGGAAAAGTACCAAAAATGTCAAAAAAATTTTAAGTCTGTCTACCTCTAAACATATTTTAAATAACTACTAACCCATCAAAATTTCTACTATATTTTTCAATCCTATTATTCGATATATTTTGCAATGTAAAAGATCTTATATTTGGTCCAAGCCTAAGTCATGTCACTTTGAATCTCTCAAGGCCTAAGTAAAAAGATACATCCTGAAAAGCACACAAAGACTGCTAGTGAATCTTCTCCAGCACCACGTCTGCCACTGTCCAAGCAGAATGCATGTGAAAGGCACAAGTCAGCAGTCTGGCCCTTTTTCAGCCTCAGCAAAGAAACAGTACAGTAGAAAGATCAGTTGTGCATTAAAAACAAAATAGATTTAGTTATCTTAAAAAGTTCAAATTGTTTGTTGATCCCTACCATTATTAGAAAGAGGAAAAATGCAAGTGTAATATTTAATTTCCCCTGATAAAGGTGTTTCAACAATTTTTTATTTTTAAAATGTTCTTTTGGTCTTCCATGTCCCCACCCCATACTTCAAGCTTTTTTGTTCTCATTTTTTAATATATTAACTTTTATTGTGGTTTTTGGTAGCTTCACAACTTGTATGAAATAAATTCACATCATAGTCTATATAATAACTCTGTAAACTATTAGTCTATTCTTAAGTCTTTACATAGAAAACATTACTTTCCCATAGATAATATTTTTCTTATAAAGCAAAGGTCTTCAGCAGTGATAAGGTAGCCATTTCTTTTCCGGTACTTCTAATTTTCTGTAGCATTTAGAAAAGGAGACTGAAAATGCAAACCATTTTGCTCTGAGTTCCACAAGTCTCCTCAGACTTCTCTCTAAGGAGCATCTGACTTGTGTTCTTCACTGCTGGTTACCCTGACAGACCAACGATAAGCCAACGGGAAATCACAGTCGCACAAGACAACGAAACAGGAAAGCCCACTGGCCGTACTGTGATTCTGTTCAAGTAGAAAGATGTCCTCACCCATAAAAGACAAAGGAATTATAACAGATCCACACATGTGGGGATTATGTTTCCAGCATAAGATTAGGCAGTTGATTTACCAAGGGAGGAGGCATCTAATTCTTATTCTTCTTTACAAGCTGCTTCCTTTGATACTAAGAAAATGGGAGAAGCATTGATGACTAATTTTGTACTCTGACTTCTCAAACTAGCTAGTGGAATTTCAAATATTCCTAAAGGGAATGCCAGATTGGAACTTAAAAGGATAAGCCAAGATCTATCTAACTTCAAAACAAAGTACATTAAGTGTCTCTAAGAGAGCATACCTTGTACACAAAATAAGAACATCTTAGTCCCTTATGAATCCCTTGAAAGACATCACATTTAGGACCCTCCAGATGATTATTCTATGCACCTTTTAAAATAAAGTACTCAGCACTTACTTGAATATTCTAAAAATCTACGAGTGGCCCAGTGACTGACAGCCTCATCTTTTCAGTAGCATGATTCCACTGGCGACGGTGGGACGTTTGCCCTCAGCTGATACCTCATACTAGAAATACCTGAGAGCTTGAACATTTGGTTTCGATATGCTTTTCCTTGCCTACAGTTATGAGTTGACTTTTAAGGAAAGAATATATACCAATACTGACAGCTCAGTATTTAAATTCATTTTGTTTCTAAAATGGAAGAATTACTGATTTGGGTGCAATACAGACCTAGTGAAAAAGTGACTGTTGCTATGTACTAATTGTTGCAGTCTTTTTCTTTTTTGCAGTGCCGCGATTGAACTCAGGACCCTGCACTTGCCAGGCAAGCGCTTATTCTACTGAGCTATCTCCCCGGCCCACAATCTTTCACCTTTGATTTGAAAATAATGGTATCTGCTCTTACAAAACCCTCATCTTGTGATACATCCTTCCTTCTTAAATTTGGTTTTCTACATTTACTGGTTTGTAAATGGCCATTTTCAGTTTATAGTTGGGACTAGCTTTTACATTGGGCTTCTCACCTTCAGACATTTTTCCATATGAAGCAGGACAATTTTCTGGGATGGGGTGCTGTCCTCGTATAGTGTAGGCTACTTGGCGGCATCCCTGGCCTCTAGCCACTAGCTGCCAGGAGTACCTTCCCAGCTGTGACAAACAAGAACATCTCCCGGCATTGCCAGATGCCAGGTGAAGCGAAACCATCCCTATCTCATTGCTGTACATCAGACGTCTGTACCTGTTGAAGTGCTTCAGCATTCTGTGATCCCAGGAACAAGAACTTAGCTCATGCTACTAGCTTGAACACTCCAGCAGGCTGAGCTTAACTCGTAAAGGCTGCTACCTATGGAAAATCAGGAGCTAGAAATAGGAAAATAGTATATATGATTTTTATTATGTCTCAATTTCCTTAATTTTGGGACATTCCCCCTCAAGTAAAGAACAGTTTAAAATATGCTAATCAATACTTGGTTCTTTTTTAAAAAATTATTTCTGTCTACTGGCAAAGGTGGTTTTTTTCTGCTCACATATTTAATGAGATTAACTGTATCTTTTAGCTGAATTTTTCATTGAGTTCCTGTATCTGCTTTAAAATAAACTTCACCTTTTTTTTTTAAGCAGAAAGCCATCTCTCAAGTTAATAGATTCCAGTAACATGGATCTATTACCATGTATCTGCTTATTATATGGTTAAGATTAACAAATAAACATACCTCTTAGAGATTTGTATCTTCTACCCAGATTCCTACTCAGCAAAAAGCTTGGTAGACAGCGGTTAGAAGGAACCGATATTCTTTAGGTTGAGTACCTACCCTAAACTTAAGTTTAGGGCTCAGCTCACAAAGGAGGAACTATTTTAAATACTATCACTAAAAACTACAAATTGTACATTATTTCTTCTCTTCCTCGTCCACATCTCCCCATCACCACCCATCTGTGATGCTGGGAAAGATTTTACAGTCTTTAGGTATTCCAAATGATTTGTTTGTACTAGAAAGAGTCACTATGTACTAAAGTGCTTTATGTCTCTTAACCACATCAGTACATTATAAAAAATTTTTAAAAAAGAAGTTTCAAGTTCTTGTGAGGGGAAAAAAAGATTAAATATAAAAAATTTAGGTTACTATTATTATTAAACAAATTTAACCAAGAATCAAGAGAAACACTTTCCCTCTTGTCTTCCTCCCCCATCTCTCTTTTTTCATAAAAAAGAAAAGTGCAGTGAGAGAGAGGTGAACGAGCAGATGGGAGCTGGGTGGAGGCACAGGAGAGGTCGCCAGCTCCTAGTGATAATGCACAAACATGTGCCTTAAGAGTTCATCCGCTGAAGGTCTCAGTTTGGCCTCTACAAAAATCCGCTTGAGAAAGTCTCGAGTATAATCTGAGACATGAGGTGGAAGCTTTGGGTTTGTTGGCTGAGTGGCGATCTTAAAGATGGCAGCCATTGCTTCAAATTCAGCCCATGGAGGTTTTTCAGTTAGCATTTCTACTACAGTACAAGCTACGCTCCTAAAAAGAAACAAAGAGAAATCCATTACAAAAGCAGTAACATTAGGAAAGAAAACTGTTTAGCCAGAAAATGAGAAACAGGAGTAAAGCCCATAAATATTTCAAAGCGACTTGATTTAAAGTTTCCTATTTCCTTAAAATGCTGTAATCAGCGTTAGAGCAATAGCTCAGAGGTACAGCATCTGCCTTATGTATACAAAGCCTGAGGTTCTATCCACAGCATTGAAGGGATAGGGTAGACATGGTCATGACATACAATTGTGATTTAAATATAAAAGTCATTGGAAATATGCCACAATTTAATATTACCACTTAATCTATATTTTAAGAAAAATTCAGCTTATTTTGTTCTATGTAATTTTCTAATCTGTCCTCAAAAATAAATTCGTCTTCATTTCACAAAGAATCACGTATTAGAAATTGCCTTCAAAAATAGTTTGCCCTCAAGCAGCCGGGGAGATAGCTCAGTAGAAAAGGTGCTTGCTTGGCAAGCGCAAGGACCTGAGTTCAATCCCTGGTTCCACAAAAAAATAAAATAAAATAATAATAATAATCCAAAAATAAGTTTGCCCTCAAGTAATTGTTTTATTTCCTTTCTTGAGACAGGGTCTTGCTATGTAATGCAGGCTGGCTTTGAACTCGCTTATATAGCCCAGGCTTCCCTCAAATTCATGGTGATCCTCCTCCCTCAGCCTCCCAAGTACTCGCACCGAGGTATTAAAATGAATGTCTTGTAAAACTTCTTATGGGTAGGAAGAAATGGCCATTTTATGTTCTAATTTGAAATTATTAAGTAATTAAAAATTAAAGGAATTCTAAGAACACTACCAACAAAGATTAATTTTTAAAAATTTTTCCAGGGAAAATGGAAAGATATCCCATGCTCCTGGATAGGAAGAACCAACATTGTGAAGATGGCCATACTCCCAAAATTGCTGTATAGATTTAATGCAATCCCT